ATGTCCAGTTCCAGGTGGATAGTGTAAGTTACTTCCGAATGTATAAAAATAACTTTTACTTCGCATACTGAATTCGCGTAATTGATAATCTAGGGACTTTTCGTTCGCATTGGGACGATAGGAGGCAATTTCACCCCAGAATATTCGAGATCGCTTCGCTGTTATTGCCGTTGCATGAAGACAATATCCATAATTCCGTTTACTTATCACACTATTGTTTGTATCTTTCAATACAATCGTTTGAGTATCATTGTTGTATTTAGGATCACATATGCCTAAATAGAAGAACCCATCTTTCAAGTGAACATCAGGATGTGACATCATTTCTTGTAAAGGGCTGATATAATTCTTCAAGAATACTTTCGATAGATCGTAAAAGTTCACATCATCTTCGAAAATAAAAGACCATTGCAAGTCATTCTGAGCGCTATGTTTAGGAATTTCGTAGGTCCAAAGCTCAACAAAAGCTAGCAGATTGGATGCCCATTTTCGGAATAGAGTCGCCGACGAAGGAAATAATATTCGAGAATCGTTTAATGGAATCGCTAGAAAGCATACGACTTCGAAAAAGTTAGGAAATGCACGTTCAACATTTTGCTTGGTTGCATTAAAACGTGCTGAATAACAATCTGCAGTAATGATATATGCTCGTGGTCTCATCACAACTGATTTTGATTGCATTTGTACTGTAGGAATCGGCTTCACATGCGATAGAAGTCCATGATCGGCGGCCAAGTAAACAATAATAATCAACAAGCCCAGTAAACCTATGAATTGACATGCACGGTTTGTTTGTGATATGGACATTGAAACAGATGAAATTTCTACAAAAGAAAATTTGAATTCGAAATTGCTTGAAGAAAGAATGTCAAGAATGATGCATCTCGAACATATTGAAGCCAAGATAGCTCCTCGGATCGGCCTTCTTCTATATCTATCGAGATCAGCTCAAGAACCAAATAACAAGACGATGATAAATGTCTTCGAATCAATTGTACGCACAGTCATCATGTACGGCTATCCTGTTCTGCTCACAGCCGATCAAAAAATATGGGATCGCTTACAAATCATGCAGAACAAAGCAATCAGAGCTGCATTAGGTTTACCCATATACACATCGGTCAAATACATCCATCAGATCAGCAACATCCCCAACATCAAGGGCCATGCAGTAGGACTTCTTAAACAAGCAGTTCGAGCAGCGGCAAATAACAGCGACATTACGCTTAGAAATCATCTAGTACACATACTAGAAAAAATTTTAAAGAAATCACCAAAGTCGTATTATACAGAAGCGTCGATAAACTCGATCATTTTTGTGTCGCCCGAATCTATACAAAAATCGTTATATCGGAATAACGTACGAAGCGTTTGGTATATATGCAACAACGTATACAATATAAAACCAATTCAATCCAGCTGATTATTCTTTCGATCGTTTTTCTCGTTCTGTCTTCTTTTCATATTTAATATGGAATCGGTTCAACGTAACTAACGATTCTTTCGCGCTAGCTAATTCTGTTGTCTTCCATATACTATATGTAAAGTATGCAATATATATGCTGATTCTTTCGTTTCCAGCTAAACCGTTTTCTCTTTTCCATATGAAATATCGAATCCAATCAACGTGTTTACTGACTCTTTCACCACTACCAAATTTTTCACTCGTTCTTATACCTAATACGAGAAAAATTCACTCCATTTACCGATTAAACTGCAACCGTTTAAATTTTCTTATCATGACACATTACAGACGCAAACCCCTACCATACGCAAACCATATTTTCTCCGTGTTTATTTTCTCATCTTTTTCTTCTAGGACAAAAGACATACGTCATGGGTCCTGTCTTCTTTCATTTTTTGTGCCCAGCTTTCGTGTAACAACCAACCGTTAATTTATGGCTTATGCAGTAATGTTACACGAAATAAAGCTATGTTACCAAAAAAAAAATGATGCGTCTAAACGATTGTTCTCGATAGTAAAGTTACATACGCCGCAAATAACCACTAGTTACCCTTGGTTATACAAATCCTTCTAGTATTTACTCTGAGAAAGAAGCCGATTTGTGCCGTCCAACATCTGAATACTCATTATCGATAATTAATCGTAATCCTCCCGTGCTTTTTTACGTACTAAAATAGCAATTTACGCTTCTGTAAAAAGATTTTCTCGATTTTAAGGCTACTGTCTTGATAAAAGGATGCTACTGGTATATCGAACTTGACAGAAAAAAACTGACAGTATGTCAATTCTTTATTCAGAACAAGTAATAAAAAAAACAAATCTTAATCTAGAAAGTAAAAATATGGAAAAGTACTAAATGATGTAGTGGAGGATGAAATGTTTAAGGCACCTTCTCTTTGAATTTTCTTCAAGAAGGGTAAGAGTTGCACGAAATCTAAATAGCGACTTGGATAGCCCGTGAAATTCTCTATCAGATGCATTATGTTTCAAAAGTTAATAAATTTTTTTTAAAATTTTCTTAAAATGCTAAACCTACTTTTTTTCAAGTCCTAACAAAATCGACGAAGATTTTGCAAGACCTAAAAAATGCAGGTTTAGCATTTTAAAAAATTTAATAAAAATTTTTATGAACTTTAGAAACATAATGCATCTGATAGAGAATTTCGCGGGCTATCCAAGTCGCTATTTAGATTTCGTCCAGTTCTTACCTTTCTTGAAGAAAATTCAAAGAGAAGATGTCTTAGACTTCCACTCCCCCTCCCCCCACTATACATAGATAATTTCGATAAATAATCCAGTCGAGTGAATCATATATCATCATAACTGGATGATTCAAAGTCCAATAAATAAATATCTGTAAGAGATTGCGGATAAATATGCAGTTAAAATGGTGGGGGCGGGAGGGGGGGGTGTGAGTCTTGGATTTTATTCAAAAATTTAATTTGCTCTCGTACCTAGTATAATGTTAAATACTGATGAAATTGTACTATATTGTACTGAAGACTTGAGATGAGATAAAAGAAATGACTTTCATTCCACGCTATGCAACAATTCTATGTTCATAATAGATTATATATGTTCCTCTAAGCCCGAAACTATCTAAATATTACACTGCACTTCTAATTTTTTATTCTGGGTGCCAAATGGCTCATGTAGGAAGGACTAGGGTAAAAACGGAGCATCGAAAGATAGTGCGCAAAAAATGAATAGATAGGTTAGTTTAATATTGAAAGTAAAGTGTGACACGTTCTGAGAAAAAAAAAGAATAAATAAAAGCTAGACGGAAGAATGAAAGCCAATGAATAACCACCTTGAATACGTTCTTTTTCAGAATTTCTTTTATATTTCTAGCGTTATATGTTCAAAGCTTGGAAAAATCGGCATTCATTAATGTAATAGCTTTCTTACTTTTTTTCTTTCTTGAAAAGCAGAAACAAGTAGTCAAAAAAACGCTCTTTCTTCTAGAAAATAGGCAGGAAGAGAGAGAATACGGCTGTTTCAGTTACACATGGGGAATGTCTTTCTTATAAGTAAAATTTACTTTAACAACACTGCGTAGCTCTCGAACAAAGAACTGAAACATAATTGTATGAACTTCATACAATAATAATAATAATAACGTTCCATAAGCTTTTACGTCCGCTGGGACCGGTCGCAGTTATTAGTAGTATTTCTCCACATACAGCCGGGTTCTATCGTCTTCTTTTTATTTTCTCAATTCTTATTTATACTAACCTGCTGCGCTACGTAGCGCTGATGTTGTTTGCAATAAAGTTATTGTAAACCTTATTTAGCTATGTAATAAATAATCACGACAGATATTCCTTTTCTCAAAGAGGGGTATATGTAGCAGCAAGCTTTATTCAAGGTTATTCGATCTGATCTTTATTTCAACCAAACCTTCACTTCTATATTAGTTGTCTCTCTTCTCTTTCCGAACGCCTCAGTCAAGCGAGACTTGATAGAGAGAAACACGAGAGAGACAGAAAGAGAGTCATGAGAGTAAGTGTTGAAGATGGACGTGTTATGAAAATATATGAGTGGATGTAATGATCAGAAAAGAAGAGAGAACGATATATGCATGAGTCATATATATGTATTTTAACGATTAACTGATGAATGCACAAATGTTGTTATAGTAAATCGTTGTACATAGGGCTGTTAGAGGACGATGTATATATATATCATCCCCTAATTAGCATCATATATGTCGTTCTCGCGCGCTTCACATTTTATTTTTCCGCATACGCTCACATATGCTTTCGGTTCTCTTTCCATATGCTAACGACTAATTCTACATTTCGGATAGTTTTTTAACCAACTAACAGAAAGTATCCGCAATATGAAATCCAGGGGAAAAGATAGAGAAACCAAGATGATTACATTTTCGAATTAAACGAACATTGATATTAGATGATATCTAACGAGGGTAACTGTAACAAAGGAGAAACACCATGGATACATCTTTTTAAGCTCACTAATACGAGAGAAAATCGAATAATAACTAATATCAAGCATGAATTCGAACAACTTTTTTGTGATTACCACACAACAGGGAAATGAAGGTATTATTTTCAACGATTATCATTTCGGATTGAAACGAACAAACAAAGATGAGAGCAAAATGTGGGCCTGTATTAAGAAACTATGCAAAGCTTCAATCGAAACCCAAGCATCTTCTATTATTAAAATGAAATGCATTAACCCAGATGGAACTCATGAGTACGATCATCCGTGAAAAATGTCTTTCGATGTGTATGAATGTATTCGATCTATCAAACAAAGAATCGATAAAGAACCAACAGCATCAGTTTCTATGTTATACGATGAACAAGTGAAAAAATTCAGACGTACCAATGGTAATGTCAGTGCAGTTCCTGTATTTGATCGTATGAAATCTTCTTTACATCACTATCGTTCGTCGAAACAACGGAAAATTCCAAAAGATTCATCATCAATCGTGGTACCTTACTCGTTCACTCGAACGTTAACTAATTAAAACGTCTTATTCTGTAGTAATATTCAATCAATATTTGGGTTTTCTTCACTTAATAGTCTTCGATTATCCTATCAAAGTTACAGCATACATGCGTGGGATGATTTCAGCATGAAACCTGTAGTTTATGGTGCCTTACCTAACAAGAACTTCGACACTTACGGTAGCTTTTTGGTTCAATTGATTATTTATGCTCAAAACGACTAAATCACCCTAGCTCCACTATTAATATTGATCGATTTCGAGATGGCGGCTTACAAAGCATTTTTGAAAAACTTTCCAATGGCAAATATAAAAGGGTGTCAATTCTATTTTCGTGAGAATATCTGACGACAGATAAAGAAGAAAGGTTTAGTTTCATATTCCAAGGGTGTTGAAGCACGTCGTCAAATAGGAAACATATTATCCTTGCCTTTATTACCACGTCAAGAAATTCAAACAGCATTTTGTGATATTATTGAAGAATTTAGTGGTATCAGTTCTCGTTTTCTCAAGTTAACAGATTATATTCTTCGAACATACATTGCCCATGCAGTTTTTCCTCCTTCCTTTTGGGATGTTTTCGATCTTATTGGAATCCGACCAAAAACTAATAATCATGCAGAAGGTTAACATGGACCAGATTTATACAGGAGCTGGAAGAATCAACGATGGTTCGAGTGGAAGAAGAACAAGCTCAACAACGAACAACACGTTGTAGAAAAGCAAAAATAGTAATCAATGAAAATCTTCTACTTCAAGCGAAATAAGAATATTGGGACGGTGTCTTGGGCATAGCTGGTTATCAGAGGCGATTGCGCATTCTCTCTTATCGATATATCCACGTGTTTGATACTAATGAACAAGACGATCTTGATTATGGGCCAAAGGACAATTAGCTACTCAACTATCTGTTATAAAATCATTTTGTTTATTCTTAATGAAATAAATTTTCTTTTGCTTGATAATGTTATCCCATTGTTTCTTTGTCTCTCTCCTTTGATTTCACATTGCATACACTTTCTCTTATGCGGACAATTTAGTTTCTTTCTCCCCGTCTCTATATTGCGAATACTTTTTTTTACCAACTCTCAGGCTAATAAATCCGATGCTGGATCCGACTGGGAAAATTCAGTCGGTTATTGCAAATTTTATGGGCGATCTTTTTAGCTATATTCTATGATGACCCTTAGAAAGTCCGAAAAAATCATGTTTCGGACCCGATGGAATCCGACATGGGCTCAGAAAAAATGTCCGCAAAACAGTTGATACAACGATTCACTTTTAACATTACCTGTCTAAATGGGAAATTTGTGTGAACTGAACGAATGCGTTGATAGACTCACTCGTTGTACGGCTTTCATCGATGCGTATAGTTCTTATTGGATTGAACTCATGCGTTTGACGACTTTTAAAAGTAAGAGCAGAAAGTATATGGAACAGCGGTAATCGACCATGTAGTATAATTCCTTGATTGAACTAGACAATATAAAACCAGACAGACTTGACACATCTGAATGTTCCTCCAGAATCTATGCATTTTAGATAGAAAAACACTTTTGAAAAATGAATTCTTCATCTAGTGCGTATAAACGATGACTTCGGTGAATGAAAAATACTGTGGTGCAGCCGAGAAACAGAAGATTTCCCCTCTATTAAACAATCAATCTTCCGTAGATTCTACTCGTAAAAGTTTGCTTAATAAATTATTGAACTGTTTACTTTCTCTCTTTGTAGAATTTTCTTTCATTCTAACTTCGAAATCTCTTCGCGTATCGCAACAAATCCAAACTACAAAATATTTGTAAAACATTCATCTTACTTTTATTCTAGTAGTACTTTGAACTTCAGACACATTGAATTTACCTGATCATATATGTTGAATGTTCTTAGCAACTCTAACGTAAATGCCATCTCGTGATAGATGGCACAAGGAAAAGGAGAAGAAATACAATCAGCATACGTGTAAATGTTTAATGTTGCTGATGTGTTAGATATACGCTCAAGATAACAGAAACCGAATGCATACAATATACATACGGATAGATGACATGTTATTTCTCGAATCATTAACTCGCCTCTGATATTACTGCTAGCCCTTTTTTTTTATCGAAGTACTTAACGCAGTACATTGCAGTACGCTTTTCATGTTAGATAACTATATTTCAGGTACCAATCACTAATAACAACAACACATATTCTCATCAACAGTTGTTGATCTTCATTGATGCACAAATAAAGTTTGTCGAAGTAGAACAGATGAATTAGTCAGCATCGCTGCTCTTTGAATAAACATTCCATCAGAATTCAAGCTGTATTTTCCATGAAGATCCCGAAAAAACAGATGATGTCGTTTCAAGAACGTCAATCGATATGCCGCTGCGCCTAAATCAGCTCGAGAGCTTTTCAGTGACACGCTGATACACTTATTACTCCCATCGTCGAAAATCTGCGGTACACTACGATGTTTAGTAACAGTCATCTCTTGAAATTCAGGCCAAGAATGGTGTGATACGAATCCCCATGCAATAATATCCATACCACCTTTCATATGCGGAATAATTTTACTACCAAATACTCGAGAATAGAAATTATCACCGTTCGTAAAAGTAATATATTGACAGTCCCATTTAGAAGAGTTGTACAGATATGTCAATACGTGATCCGTCATATAATATCCAAAGTCTGCTCCAACTGAAAGTAAACCATAATCAAGAAGAGTAACGTAATCTTCACGAGCAACTAAAGTGTTAACAAAACGAATTGTATCATTAAGAAGTTGGATATCAGTGCGATTATCCGTGTTTATTACCAAGATACGGTCATTTTCAAGATGTGAATGAAATAACGAGAGAACTAGAACAGGTAAATATCCAATTTGTGAACCATATGTACGTACAAGAATACACAGTCTTGGTGCTGCTGCTGTGCTCGTACTACGATTGAAAGCAGCATGCAAATGTGTAAAATTGAAATAATTCTCGTTGTTTCTAATCGATTCATATGTAATTAAAGTAAAAGAATTCGATAGAAGTGCTATAACAATGAGATTCAATATCAGACAGAAAACATATATCGTAAGGCGTTTCAATGTAAAATGACTGATCATGTAAACCATACAATCCGTCAGAGAGTAGCTTGTTTGAAAAAAAAATAGTCTTTATTTGCAGTTTTACTTTTATTTCTTTTTCCTTTCACGTGCAAACTTTACTAAGTGATCAGAACGGAGTAGAAATTTTCAACCAGAAAAAGCAGCATGTTTGAAAAGTTTTATAATCTAAGTGTTCGTACATCTGCATTATACAATCATCCTGACAGAAGAATCTACAAACTCCGATGTTTAGAATTCTATGATTTGTTCATAGAAATGCAAATCCTTTTTTAAATGATTTAACAGTATCATACAACAAAATTGAAGCAAAAAAATTTAAAAAGAGTTTATATGAAATCGTCAGCACCATCTGTAGAAAAATTGGAACTGTAGTTTGGCGATTGTCTAAAATAAAAGATTAGAAGTTGTATGCAGACAAATAAAAATAGCATGAAACATACGGATAAAGAGGCGAAGCGACATTGGGTCGGTAAATGGGTGACGTTTGACTATACATTTGTGGTGATGTTGGTGAATACATTGGTGACGTTGCAGTTGAATAGCTAATTCGCGGCGACGTCGGTGAGTACATCGGTGAATAAGGTGGATTTGATTGAGATGATCTGTATACAGGAGTCGTTGGATCTTTAACAACAAAGTATGAACAAATATAGTAAGATCATCTGCAAGAAAAAAAAAGAAACTAACGGTATGCTGGACTACTCGATTCATAGAATGGCGACGTTAGACCGGTTGAATAAGCCGGGCTAGTTACTGAAGTATACGATGGATTGATAGGACTATTTCAATCAATTATAAATATAAATCTAGTTCAATTAAGAGAAATACACATACCGGTAGAAAGACGGTGTTGTCGAAGAATTTGGTGATTGAAATGATGTATAACTGGGCGATGATGGAGAGTGCCGATAATTTATGTTTAGTGTAGATGCTGTTCTAGTTGAAGAATCAGTTATTTGATATGCTGGAGTGGCTATTGATTCTGTCCACGGTGTGTTAGCAATCAAAAATTGGTTCGTGACTGGTTGAAATGTATCGATATTTGTGCTGGGTACTTCCATTGCTGAATTGCACTTTCTTACGTCTAGGAAAACATCAAATGCGCCTGTGCCTATTTTAGCCAATTGACCAAGCATAATATTCTCTGAAACGCCTCTTAATGGATCAAGTTCGGCATGTGCTGCTGCTTGAATAAGAATGCTGACAGTTTCTTCAAAGGTTGATCTCATAATTGGACTAAGACCTTGTCGATTAATTCCATGGCGTGTGGCTGATATTAATTGTCCTCTTGTTGTCATAATATCACATAGTAGAGATATATGACGGGCATTGACATAAGCCCCATCGAATGACATCACTTGCTTTAATTCATATTGAGTTGCTGAGCGTGCAGCTTCGATGCCAAGAACTTCGAAAATTTCGACCAGGTCATTTGTAAACGTTCGGCGATGATCAATGTATTTTGTGCCAAGAACCTTTTGAAGTGCAGAGCCATCTGTGACAACACAATATTCATCAATTGTTTCAATACATCCTTTATCCGAAATAGTATATCGTTGTTTTGAAGTGTTCGAGAGAAACGCTTTTGTTTCAACGAGATTTACTTTCGATATTGATGAAAATCCTGTTCAAGATAAAATCATATACGGTACTCTAGACATTTTCAAAGTTAACGCTTTACCTTTCAGTAATAAACTCGGTAATATTTCTCTATTGAGCAATTGAAGATTAGTATCTTCATCTATTTTATCAATCCCATTTTCTCCCGACGTATTGTCTTCATCAATAAGATCTTTCATTAAACTAGTAAGTCTGACATGTAGAACAGGTACATCTGAATTGTCATCATTGTAAATCACGTGGTAATAGCCGTTAAGAGCGCCTGTAACTGTTTCAGCAATTTGCTCCGTTGTTAATTTCTTCTGATGCATTTTCTGTCGGTTCAGTTCAATGCGTAGTAGCCACGGAGATCTCTGCGAATGATTTTCAGTGGCTAATTCATGATAAATGCTCGTCCATTCTTGATCTTTTTCAATGACGGTAATTGCTGGGTCAGGATCATAATAAATACTTGAGCTAACAGTGATATTCTTCAGGTAACAGCACTCAAGATTCGATAAGACTTCCAAACAATTCTCGACATCTTTTTCAACTTCTTCACTAAAAAAAATAGTCATCGAGGGTGTTCTAGGTTTTTTCGAAACACCGATGATTTCTCGAAGACGAGGAACACCAAGTGTCACATTTTTTGCTGAGACACCAGCGTAATGGAACGTATTTAACGTCATTTGAGTTGCTGGTTCACCAAGCGATTGTGCTGCGAGTGCACCCACACACTCACCTGGATGAACTTGTGCTTGTTGAAAACGCGTTTCGATTTCACCGCACAGCCAATCAAAAGCCTCGCTAGTTAGATGATGGTTTTTGAGAACTTGCTGTGAGCAAAGAGATGATCGAAGAAGAGTACTTATCAACAAAATGGCATTTTGTTGAGCCTCTTGTGAAAGTGAATCGGCACCTTTGACGACGGTCAAACGTTGAATTAAATTTTTTAAGTCATCGATAATTTTGATTGGCGAAAGGTCCGATTTTGTTCGTTTAGAAATGTGGAATAGTTTTTGTGCATTATAAATCAATCGGTCTATATTACATGGTAAAATCAATTGTGAGTTAATACCATGGAGAAATAATTCTCGGAGATGTTGCCGGTCCTGGCATAATTGATTCCATTCGTTGTCCAAGATTTGTAAAGATTGATCGTTAGAGAACAGATCATTGATAACATGAGAGTTTAAAAATTCATGTAAATCTTGCGCATTATCAGGTAAATCAAATTTGCATAGGTCTTTAAAGACACTATCAGATGGTTTCAATGAGATGATTTTTTGAAACTCAACATGTTCTCCGGCTAGACCATCTTCGCCGTAAATGAACTGAATCACCTGTTCATGCTGATTCCGAACTGTTCCATCGTATTTGACCATGACCGATTCCATGGTTTTAACTAGACGACGTTGAATGTAACCGGTTTCGGCTGTTTTAATAGCCGTATCGATAACTCCTTCTCGACCGCCCATGGCATGAAAGAAGAACTCTGTAGGCGTCAGACCTTGCAAATAGGATTTTGCAACAAATCCACGCGCTCTCGGGCCATGATCTTCTTTGAAGAAGTGTGGTAGCGAACGTTGTTGAAAACCGAATGGAATGCGTTTCCCTAAATATTCAAATCATTAAAAGAATGATGAAAACGCCATTCGGTTAAACTGTATACAACAAACCTTCAACGTTTTGCTGGCCAACACAAGCAATGATTTGAGCGATATTAATCGGTGAACCTTTGGCTCCACTAGTAACCATTGCTTTGAATTGATTGAAATCCGATAACGATTGCTGAGCAAGTGATCCAACTTTATCTTTCACATCATTCAAACTTCGATTGATCTCTTTTTCAAATAGACGTCGCGATGACAAATTTGATGGTATTTGGCCGCTACGAATGTCTTCAATCAATTGTTGTACTCTATATTCATTTTGTTGGACTTGTTCTTGAATCATCTTCGTAGTAGGTTCGTCAATAACTGCATCAGTTATACCTGAAACGAGCTTATTCAATTTCTAGAAACCGAATTTTATTAAAGCTTACCAACAGAATGTCCTTCGAGCAGTAACCAGTTATTGACTAAAACTTGAATCGATGAATAAAACTCGCCGGCTATTTTGTAACCACATTCCATAAAGATAATATGTCCGAACGAACCTGCACTTGCCCCTAGTGTTCGTTTACATAAAATACCAGAGAGCAGTCGTCCATTTTCAACTAATATGTCTGTATCGCTTGACGAAAGCCAGTCGAAACGTCCGCTCTCAGAATACGTACGAACGCAATTCACCTCTCGTGGAAGTAATAGCGAAATAAGTTGCTTTCCGGTCCACAATGATTTAGGTTTAAGAATAGCTGGTTGTGGAATTTTACCGTCCCATGATGGTATAAGCATGAGCAAGTTCATCAAATCACTTTTATCAATGAAGACATCACGACGTGTCATTTTTGTTACACCTGTTAATGAATCCTGAACAATACCCATTACTGGTCGATTAGATTGTGGTGTAATGAGAAGGCGCGGAACCGTCATTAATTCGGATAGTTCAGCTTTAGCTTCTAGTGATTGTGGCAAATGAAGGTTCATTTCGTCACCATCAAAATCAGCATTGTACGGGGTTGTAACTGATAAATTCAATCGAAACGTGGACCATGGCAAAAGTTTCACGCGATGTGCCATCATGGACATTTTATGCAACGACGGCTGTCGATTGAAAACAACAAGATCATCATCCATCATTGGTCGCTCGACAATACATCCGCAGCGTAATGAGATATCAGAAGTACGAACTCCCAAATCAATTCGATCTCCATTTTCAAGAATAATATATTTAGCGGTGCGACTTGAAACCATTTCCTGTAGCCATTCTCTATTGAACGGATTGACAATTTCTGGAACGGTTAAATTTTGCGCAATCGATTTCGGTACACCAACTTGATCAATGGCTAAGTTAGGATCAGCTGTTATGACCTATGAAGAACGATTTGACTTTTCAATTGAAATACAAAATTAAACTTATATTAACATACACTTCGTGCGCTGAAATCTACTCGTTTGCCCATTAGATTACTACGAATTCGACCTTCTTTGCCTGAAAAACGACATATCTACATTCTTACTCAATTATCAGAGTCAAAACGGAACCTTTCAGTCGTTCTGACAATGATTTCAAAGGTCGACCAGTCTTATGGGCCATTTTCGGTATGTCCGAAATGTCATTGTTGATCAATGTTGCACAACAATATTGCAAATATGTCCAATGCTCATCGATGATATGCGAAGAGACGCCATTTTGTTCGTCTTCGTGCAAAATATTATTTGCTTTGATAATGTTTGCCAAAATATATGTTAAATCATCTTGAGCAGATGATTCGCCAAATATCAATACGGATGGTCGAACACATGGAGGGGGAACTGGTATGACAGTCAAAATCATCCACTCAGGCCGCGAGTGTTGAGGATCCATACCAAGTATCCGACATATAGAATCAGGAATTAATTTAAAAATTTCCAGAACGTGTGCAGGTGTTAATCGTGTGCCATCTGTTTGGTTTTCGTTATCGCTTCCTTTCAACTTCATTATTATTCCTACGCCTGATCGGCGATAAGTTGGCTGTAGTTGTCCACAACCATTGGAATGATTTGTAAATTGATTGTCAAGTTCATTGATTTCTTCGAGAATCGAATTTGAGCCTTGACATCTTTTTCTACTTTTGCATGCTGCAACTATCCATTCTAAGCGTCGATGACGTTGATTTTTTGTATTTTTAACGATCTGTAGAAGTTTCGGATCGTTTGGATCAATTAATAGTTTCCCACAACGAAAACAAATGCATCGTAATATTTTCAATATCTTTGCTAGAAAACCGACGTGGTAAACAGGTTTAACCACTATATGAGATATGAATGATATTCATCGGATCAAGTTTCTAAAAAAAAGGCACTAAACTAAACAAAAATACTAACATTTTATATGGCCGAAATGTCCTGAACATTCGGTATAAGATCCTGCACAAGTCAAACATTTCGAATGTCGATCCACTGGTCCCTGTCGTGGATCGGATAGACCTTGAAGTTTTGGTTTTCGTGTACCTCTTTCAAATAATTCTGGATGTATAATAGGTTTATCTGTTACTGACATTCGTAATATTTCAACTGGAGACAAGATTCCAAATCGAACACGACGAATATCTCGGTAAGGCGCTACTGAATCGCTTATTTGAGAGCTCGAATATGACATGTCACTTCTGTTATGAATCTATGAGAAATGAGAGCGAGCAACGAGAAAAAAACGTTTTATACTGAGGTAGTTTTTTTTCTTTGGGAAATTTCATAAATGACACATATTGCAAGCATTGCACAATTACATGAATACGTATATCTCTTTGATTCATTTGAGTCATGCAGTAAATAGCGTCAGTATAGAGGACTCTCAATGATGATTGTATTGGACAGAAGGAAAAATGGTTTTTCGATACACCACATGAAGATGGTACAAGTGTCGCAGATTAATTTATTCACAGGTATTTTTGTATTTCGAACGCATGTAGTGATTGGCATAGGGTTTTATTTCCATTGTATAATTCTATTTCGTACGGTAAAATAAAATTTGAAAAATATTGTCGACTTTGAGCTAAACTATCATCTATATGTAAAAAGCATGCATGTATATTATATAGAAAACATTTTATCAAATATCTATCGACTGTTCGAATCAAATTTTATATTCGATCTTAAGAAGAGTAATATTTATTGGTACAGTTCCACTCTATCCAAAATAGTTTTGTGACTAATACCGCCAGCAATTAGAAGTGCTCCATTTGTTAGAACAGATGCAGTGTGCTGCCTTCGCTTCAGTGTCATGTTAGCGAGAAGCACCCAACTTTTGGTTGATGGATCATAGGCTTCAACAGTCTGCAATTCAGTTCGACCATTCCATCCACCGGCAACCAAAACTTGCCCATTAGCTAGTAAAGATGCACTATGCTCGGATCGTTTATTATTCATATTATTAACAACAGTCCAAACCCGACTTAATCTATCATATAATTCCACAGTGTTCATTTCGCTTACACCATCATATCCTCCTACAGCCAATACATTACCATCGGTTAATAGAGATGCAGTATGATCACTTCGTGCAGCGTTCATAGGCTTTAAGGTCGTCCACTTCTTTTGCGATGGATCATATAATTCTGTGTGTTTTATCTCTGTAGATTCAGTATATCCGCCAACAATCAAAACCTTCCCGTCTTTCAATACAGTTGCAGTATGTGCTTGTCGTCGATACTCCATACTGTTGATCAATTTCCATTTTTTAGTGTTTGAATCATACAGTTCTACAGAATCCAATTCATTAAAACCACTCCATCCACCGATGAGTAGTACTTGTCCATCTTCTAATGTAGACGCTGTATGCCGATACCGAGGTGCACTCATATCGGCAATAATTGTCCAAGTTTGAGTTGAGGGATTGTACAGTTCTGCGGTAGCCAAATAAGCACCTTCCAAACTAAAGCCGCCTGCCACTAAAACATCTCCATTCGACAATAATGACATTGTGTGACCACATCGTGCAAAATGCATGTTCTTTGTTGCTATCCAAGTATTCGTGGACACATCATAGAATTCACTGCTATTCACTGGATAATCTGCATTCAGTCCGCCAGTGACTAACACATTTCCATTTTTCAACACCAATACTGTATGTCCATGTCGTGGATAATGCATTTTAGCGATCTGCGCCCATTCTAGAAATAGTATAGTTTTATTCTTTGCGAGTTCATATCTAACTGTCGTCAAAAAACTACTTTTCAACTTAATAGATTGTTTCATGGGAGTTGAAGTAGGTGACACTCGGGTAGTTTCCATCGTGATTGCTGTTTGTGGTATAAGAACGACGTCAGCCAACAGCAAATACAAAATAATCAGAGAAATACATAAGTTACATATCATGATGCAAACAAGTAGTATCCAGCAAAAGCGACAGTTGTTTTGTCGTCCATTACGTCTGGCCCGTTCTCCAAAACGCCCGCTGTTGTCACTCATACTTTTCTATATAAACGGTGGTATTTTAAAACGAAAACGAATAAAACATTGTCCTTATCTATTTTCATCATACGCCCCTTACACCGGTCTCAGGTGAATAGAAGAGTGTTATACTATGATAATAAAAAAAACAATAACACACTATTTGGTATTACTTTACAGTTTCGATCTGTTATCTAGAATTAATAGATTGTTCTTTCGAATGTCTTCAATCGTTTGACAACCACAGAGCATCATGGCTAATCGAAATTCATTTTTCAAAATATTCAATACACTTTGTACACCTTGTGCACCGTCTACTGCTAGACCCCATAGTATCGGCCGTCCAACCAACACGGCCTTTGCTCCCAAGGCAATCGCTTTCAAGATATCAGTTCCTCGCCGAATTCCACCATCAACATAAATATCGATTTGATCTTTATCGTTTCCAAGAGCTATCATAATGTCTCGTAGAGCGTCAATTGTTCCCTGACAAGTATCCAACTGTCGACCTCCATGATTTGAAATAATAATACCTTGCACACCATGTCGAATAGCTTCTCGAGCATCATCAGGATGAATAATGCCCTTAATAATAACTGGTAACGATGTAATTGATCGTATCCAATCGATATCTTTCCATGATAGTGCTGCATCAATTGGTATATCGCTTCGATATGTTTTACCGAACTCAGTATTGTCATTATCATCATCCATGAGATTCTCAGCTTGAATCCCATTTGGCAAAGTGAAGTTATTTCGAATGTAACATTCTCTATTGCCTTGCTCACAATGATCGACTGTGATCACCAAAGCTTTGTAATTACATTCTTCAGCACGTTCAATTAATTTTTGTGTATTTCGACGATTCTTTAAAACATACAGCTGAAACCATAGTTGTGATGTACTTTGAGGATAGTTCATTCTGATTTGTTGATGATGTTCATCAGCAATTCGTTTCATGTCTACAGACGCATTTGTGCTTACACACATAATTGTCGAACAGGCAACAGCTGCTCGAACTGTTGCTAATTCTCCATGTTCATTATTCGCTAATCGATGCAATGCAGTTGGAGCAATCATGCAAGGAAATGAAAGTGTTGCCGTCGAATTCAAAACTTGAGTTTGGCAATTGATCGAATTATTCGTCGAGTGTGAAGAAACATCAATTAATACTTTTGGACGTAATTTGATTTGTCGAAAAGCTCGTTCGTTATCAATTAAAGTTAGTTGATCATCGGAGCCCGTACTATAGAAATCATAGATCATCGCAGGTAATTTGCTTTTTGCCTGTTGATGATAATCTTCAATATTTAGAAGCAAACGTTGAGGTTTGTCCATAGTTGTTTAGCGCGTTTTGCCTAAAGAGATGACACTCAAATGAATACCCTTTTTGTTCTTCATTTTATCTATTCAATGATGAAAAGTGCGTCATTTACGGCTCTCTCTCTCTCTTATCTTCACAAAGCAAGAATCCAGCTGAGTAAAAAATAGATGTACCGTCTTTCAATAATGTAACCATATAATGATAGACTGAAAAGACAGACCAGTTGATTTTTGCTGCGCACAAAATATGTGTTGCCATATTCTTTTTTCGTTTAGATCGATAAGTCTAACATATATGCCGATACTTTTTTCATCTTTGATCGTCTGTAGACCACGATAGATGACTTCACATTGGAATTGAATGAAGTCGCTTATCAAAATGAGATGTCAAGGATTTTTCTTGGTTCACCATCACTTGTTCGTCTATCATTCAGTCGTCTATTAGCCAACCATGACTTTTTTGACAAAAAATACCAAACACAATCTAAAAATGTGCTCCATAATACATAGCAATGATGACAATGGAAATTCATAGATATTTCTTTCCTACATTCTCCGTAGCTAGTCCACTACATTAGCTGTATACAACGATATTGTTTATGCAATTGGCATCGATGATGAACATCAAAGTAGTATCACCATACATCGGAGTGTCGAGGGTGATGTTTCATGGAGATATAATAATAGTAATAGTAGAGGTATACTATTTAATGGCGCACTCTCAACATGTCCCACGCCTATCGTCATGACGAATCAAGTCATATACCGTTCTGTAGAACATCGAACGGTACCAGGCATTTGGCCTGGGGGATATTTCAAGCGACAATCATTAGCTATGATCTTTCAACATTGTTGACATACAACAGTACGACGAAAGATGATCCTGAAATGTCTCCGAAAAATTGACGAATGGCGTCACCCTTACAGTTCAATCAATCGTGGATACCGTCGTCGTATTCAAATTTAAATGCACCAAGGTTATTGGAGGGTAGTGCTGTCATCTTGTCTAGCTTTTCATTGTCATCCAATCATCAATCGATACAAGTATCAAATGATTACGCTTCAATTTCGTTCTTTGAGCTAATCTTGCTGTTGTCCCGCAGAATCAAATCTCAAATACAATACACTATCGTTTCGTTCTATTATCTCCTTTTCTGATGGCATGAGTAAATTTACTAATCAATATGATCCTATTACTCGTACGTATTTAACGTTGTGTAATCCAGTTACCGCACTCACGCATTCTAATCAGCGGAATGTTTTAAGTTTAGCGTACACGAAAGATTTATTGAATTTAAAGAATTAGAATATAGCCATCGATCATCTTCTTTATGGTGATGATACTGGTCTAGCTTTCAATGATGGTCTTCGTTATACTGAATTGCAATATGTTGACTAGCAATTTGATACATTGTCGAGGCCAATACAAAAATCAAGTTGCATTGATTGGTAATGTGGTAGTGATCTTGATATAATATTCGTACTGCATACTGCGTAGCAAACCCCTTTGGTAATTCCAACCTTACCACATATAGAACATTGCTTAACTATCGTTCTGCGATCAAATAACGTTAATATAGGAGTCTTCATGTTTAAAGACATTCGGAATATACTAAATTGTAAGATGATACAAATTGTAGGAGAAATCATTAGTGCTAATGCAGGACACAATTATTTGAATAATTTGCGAATGTAGGAGGGTGAGAGACCATTCGCTTGTGTGTAAATACGCTCATAGGTAGTTGCTTATTTAAAGTTCACAACAATCCATCAGAATTTTGAAATGCAGGGTTGACAAATATCTTTCCTCCATTTCGGCTGACACATTCATTGAATATCACATGTTCGCATTTACCATAGCTGAACTCAGCATCAAATGAATCATATCGACAATCTTGTAAGTATCGTGTCTGATATACCGCAAAGCCGCCAAAAGCTGACTGGACCGGTATAAGTGGATGATCTTTAGGAATAGGCTTTCGATGAACGTCAATAAATATTTTGTGAGCGATATCTGAATTCCGTGGATACTTGCTTACTGCCTTCCAGCAATCATAATCGACGATGGATGATCGCAGTGCCCATATATCATAGTATAGATGAGTTTGGGATGCTGTCATTGCCCCCCACTGATTTAAATCATAATGAAAATTCGTCAGAAACTTGTCAGAAGAAAGAATAGAATTTCCATTAACATCAATGTCAACAACAAGTAGAAATTGCGCACGTGTAATCCATTGCTTTTCGCGAGCAGTAGTCAGCAGATGATTTCGACAATAAGCGATACGATCTGTTCGTCGCGTTGAAAATGTTCTCGTTAAATTCCCATAAGTATACTGTTGAATTTTCGGATTTTTCACTGACCATTTTGTCAGATACTCTCGCGTAGCATCTTTAGAATCAGACTCACCAATAAGTACTCGATAGTCTTCAAAGATTGAGACAATATCTTCGATGTTTCGTCGAAATTCTGGTAAAAATTTAGCCACATCTCGAGCGCATGCTGTAACAATGATAAAGCTACGATCGAATTTCACCTGAGTACGCTTTCGTGGAACAATAATCGACGCATCATTATTTGAATGCCAAAATGTATCTATATGTGGAATAGTAGCAAGAGAGTAGAGAGCATCATACTTTCTTTGTAAATGAATGATCAATAAGGATTGTAAGAATAATAAAAGCAGACACGTATAATAGCCTTTGTTCCGCATGAATCCTATAAAACAAAGTAGATTTATGCATTTACAGTGTCACTAAGATTCTAATAAATTTCTTGTGAGTAAAAGACAATGTTCGACTATTCTTAAAATTACCACATTAATCTGTCCAGTTTACGTACCAAACGTCCATACCTCTAATTAATTGCCACTCAAATGTCCAATTTATCTCAACGATCGTCGCAGAGGGAAAAGCCTAACTACTTTTACAACCTGTACAAGATGGTAAATCACAATGCAAGACATGTTGCTAAGACAATTTTATTCCACATAACGATACAAAAAAGAAGAGTTACAGAATATTAGTCAAGTCTAGCGTAACATAGAAACTTTGCTTAGAATTTGTCACGCCATGCAAAGAAAAAAAACGCAGTCTATGTAGCCTGTATAATAGAAGGAAAACGACAGTGACATGTTATATTTATCTGTGTTCTAATGACGTTCTTTGTATCAGAAGGCGTATACGATAACCTAGATTTGAAGTAGGAGTGGTACTGCATAAACTTTACCCGGTAAATTAAAGTTAGTATGCTTTACCAAAAAGTAAACTAAACTAAAATAAAGTAAAGTAAAAAAACTGAAGCAAAATATTTTAAAAATTTAAAAATTTTGTTAGGTTAGTAACGCGTATAAATAATTCCAAAAATTATCAGAGACTATTGAGTGCCATTTGGGCCTAATATTAATGTAAGATAAGATTAATAAAGCTGAGGAAGTACAATTTTTTGTTTATACATGAACTATGCCGATTGGTAAGCTTTATTTTACGTATTCTTCAAATTTAAGCTAAACTGTCTTACTTTTTTATTTTATTGTTTTGGATAAAGTATTATTTTTAAGCTTACTTTACTCAAGAAAATAGCGTTGATAATTTTAATTTTCTTTATTTTACTTTTCGAAAGTGAAATGAAGTTAAAGTGCCAAGGGAGGAAAAACGATTTATGAGTTTTGGTGAGTTAAAGTCAGTTAGAAGAAATACAAATTCGCCCGCTATAAGTAGAGCTCCCAGGACGATGATTTCGGGAGCAGTATTCCACTAATATCCCACGAAAACCTGCTGTTAATCTATTATTTTCCGGTTGGAAACGCTCGGAAAATATTCAGAATCCAGGAGAAAAATCCTGACACTGTATCCAACTGCCGTTTATGGTAGGTTCTGATCGGCTCCATGTGAAACTCGCTAAATCCAGTCACCGGATCCGTTCTCAGGGATACTGCTTCCCTGAAATGGTCGGAATATTCTGGAACCGATCGCATCCGGACCAGATTCTTCGATCAGAGATTAACATAGAATTATGCTAAATAACACATGCACACTGAAAGTCATTGAAACTCATCCTAACTCATAAAAAAAAAGTCACTTGCGATGATTTTTGGTTGAGTCAGGAGTGATTTAACTCAGCTTTTTATCCCTTGTGAAGTGCCATCTTTAGTTCAGAGATAAAATGCATCTGAAATCGAGAGAACAACAGATGGAAACAACGGTTGTTCATTTCTTTACGTTCGCAGAAACGGCAAAATCCGCAAGAAATAGGCCCTCTCTAATTGTTCTTGCATTTATTTACTCTCGTTCCATTTTTCTCTTCATACTAAAAATAGCACGCTATCCTATGTAGAACAAATCTTGAATGAGACATTGGAATGTATCGAAAAAGACTTGACTGAAGAGCAAAGAAAAGAAAAAAAACATTAAGAAACTAGATTGTGATCACATCTATGAACATCTTTCCAGAACACATTTCTTCCTCTATACGACAATAGAGAAAATAACATATCTACACCATAAAGGATAACCTAAACGTCGAAAAAATATACAATACTTTTTTGAAATTATGATCACAGCTGATAAAAAAAGCAGAAATTCTCAACAAATCTTAGCACGTTATATTGTAATTCTATAGTTCTTATTGACTAAGAGAAAATATTCAATGACAAAGACATATGAAGGAGATAAATTTTTTACTGAATCGAATGATTAAGGTCATCGTAGAAATACCAACTTCATTTTCACACTGATAAACTAGGCGAAGTGACGAATAGAATACGTAACTTAGAATCAGTTTTCTTTTATATGAAATTCTCGTGTAATAGAAAATGATATTTCAGAGTTCATCCTTCTCTGTTCTGTTCTATATTAAAGTGCAGACGTTAAGTCGAAGAAATCCTTAATGTCACTAAGAATTTTCTTATAATCGAAGCGGAGAATATGAAGCGAAGAAATGCACGGAAAAAAGAAAGCCCTTTCTTTTCACCGTGTTTAGAACTGAAAGTATTCATTCTACTCTTCTCTGATGC